TGTTTTATTTTTCTTAATAACTATTTTGCATACACAGCAACTTTATCCAAGAAAATAGTATGCAACGTTTATAAATGAACCATACCAGAAAATGTAAGATGCTGTAAAATAAATTATTCACATTCTTATACCCGCATACAAATCTAAAATATTTAACAAAACCAAAATGACAAATTATCCACACATGCAATAAATCCTAATAAATACGATTTTTAAAAATATAAATAAAAAAAATCTATACGCAGTCTTGCAAAATGGAATATATTATAATAAAACACATAAATGCAAGTGTGTTATGTAAATTATAATTAACAATATTATTAATGCATTACACTTTGTGACAGACAAAAGGGTAACTTTCCAAAGCTTATATAGGCGCTAATTTTATTAACTGATCTTAGTTCTTGTGATATATCTGTATGTTGCGCATTATGAAGATATTAGTGAGTAGATTTTTCTGAGTGATTTGGTGATTAAGTGAATTTAATAATACATGAACGATTTCTATTATTTTTAGATATTAGTTTTTCTAGTTGGCTTTTCAAAAGCCTCAGTGGAAAAACGAAGTATTGGTCATGGTTTAGAATTGGGAGGCCATGGTTTGGAATTAGGTGGACATGGTTTAGATCTGGGTGGTCATGGAGGAATTGAATTGGGAGGAGATATTGGAGGACACCATGAAAAAATTGAAACAATTACATTAACCAAAAAAGTACCATATTTGGTACCACATCCTGTACCAGTCGAAGTTATTAAACACGTCCCAGTGCCATATGAAGTAAGTTTTTACCAATTCAAATAAATTACACTAATAATTTTGTAATTAGGTTAAAGTAAAAGTACCAGTACCACGCCCATACAAAGTATGGGTACCAAAACCATATCCAGTGGTTGTGAAAAAACATTATCCGGTTGTTGTTGAAAAACCGTATCCTGTTGCTGTTAAGGTACCTGTAAAGGTACCATATCCAGTCAAAGTACCAATACACGTCCCAAAACCGTACCCAGTATGGGTAGCAAAACCATATCCTGTAAAAGTAAAGGTACCTGTTTATATTGAAAAGAAAATTCCAATTCACATTCCTGAACATAAGGAGGAAGAATCAGGAGGAGATTTCAAGTTTGGAGGAGGGGACGAAGAGGAAAAATGGTGGTAATTAAAATAAACTGTTTTTGTTGTTGTTTGTTATTATTATTTTTACTGATTTTTCCTTTTTTCTAATAATAATGAGTTTAATGGCTAATAAAGGAAAAAATTGTGCCAAAAATGTTCTACTATCTTCGTTTTGTTATTTTTTGTTATAGTACCTATCTTTGTTTGTTTGGACTATCTTTCTTTCAATAAAAATATTTCCATGAAGTAGTTTTTATTTATCCACTTATACGTTGGTATACTTGAATAAATATACAGGGGCGCACAGAGGGGTGGGGGGCAAGCAGGTTAGTTAGCTCCGGTCCCCGAACATTAGGCACCAAAGTAGAATTTGTTTTGAATTGAAATTAAAATTTTACCTAAAAAAATCAATTTTTTAAATACCATAAATATACCTGGAAAAAAAATTGCTTTAAAATATCAACTTTTTATATTATGAAATAAATGGTTAGGACCCCCTCTAAGAAAGTTTACCACATGCCTTGCAGGATCTCTGGGCGTCCGTAAATAACCAAAATGTGAATGTTCTTAAATATAATTATATAATAGTATACTATTTTTGTTTAAACATATTTAATATTAATAAAGTAAAGCTACTATTTGGATTAAGTACCTACATTTTCTTTGTATGTATAAGACGCCTATTCGGTATATTTTATTTAAAAATATAAATAATTCCAAACCACACTTATAGGCAATAAAAACTAAAACAAAAGGTAATTTTTGTCTTTTGGGTTTAATATGTTTAAAATTAAGGATTTTACACAGAATCTGGTGTCCTATAATTATAATTATTGCAATATGGACACCAAGATAATTATCTTACAAAGCTCTAAAAACATACCAAGTGATTACTTTTATTTTATCATTATTGTAAAGCAGTTTTAGAAATCCATGCTGAGTTGGGCTAAAAAGTGAACAAGCCTTAAAACATATTTTTTTACACAGAACTCAAAGACCTTGAAAAGGGTTGGAAGTAAGCTTATACATTAAATATAATCAGTGTAGGGTCATTATTTTTTACTCTATGGTTTTTTTAACTGGTTATGGAATATACCAGCACTTAATGAGATAAAACAAAATTCCAAATAATTAATAAACTAAATTTTTTATCACATTTGCTAAAATTTTATTTATTAGCTTGCTATAATATAACTTAATATAATATAACTAATATAACTTATTATTTTAAATATTACATGAGAATTAAAAAAAAATTGAAAATTTAAAAAGATAATTTTGCTGTTTGCTTTAAAATATAGAAACAAACTTTTATAAAAAGGAGATCAGAGTGATGAATATTAAACTATCCCTGGACAGGTTGTATACTTCATAACATACACTTATTAATTTTATATCAAATTTTAAGAAAAGTTTTACTTTATTAGAATATGAATTATTAATAAAATTAGAGCGAAAGTATCGCTTTAATTTAATTAATAATTAATATATCAAAAGCCTTGTCTTGTTAATTTATGTAAATATAGACCAGATGTTCTCAACTTTACAATGGGGCCCCGCTAGTTTAAATTTTGGGGTAGTTCAAAAAATTGAGTGGTTTTATCAATAAATTTATCAAATTAAACAAACTTTTTATATAAATAACTATTTGTTCAAATTGCATTTAAAACTATCTAGATGAGAATACCCAATATATTAAAACAGTTGCTTAAAGAATTGGTATGTACTTACTAATTGGTAAGTCGAAATAATAAATATAACCCTATCTGAATTGTATATCACCAAACAACTAATTAATTAATTAACCTATGCATTGAGGTCTCTGTATTCCACAGATATCTATAACCAACATGTTTCCTTATTGCATCAGAGCAAAAATAAGTTTAAGAAAGTACTTTAAAGAAAATTCGTAATAATGTAATAAATAAAATAAAAGCAAATTTGATATTACAAACACAAAATTATTGTGGCGCATTAGATATGCACTAGTTTTTCCAATGCGTAGCTTCGGCAGATATAAGCAAAGAATTTTATGAAGTATAATTATACATTTATGCAATAAACTTTATTTTGCATTGGTAATGTACTGTGTTCAAAAATTGCTTTGTATTAATCAGGCATATAATTTTATTTTTACTATTATCTTTTTATCTAGTCTTAAGGCTTTAACATTCAAGGACTAATATAAAAAAATACTATTTTAAGATTTATTTCTTAATATAATAATGTGCTTATTTCCACATTTCCTTAACATTTCGTAACATGTGTTGCATTGCTATAATTTAATTGCGCTAGTAAAAACACAATAACAAATTTGATTATATTGTTTAGATTTATTTTGATAAATATTCTTTTAAGTGAACCTTATAAGCTATATCTTTGCAAAAAATTACATTTTTTTGAAACAAAGCAAGATATGAAAACAATTCAACAGACAAAAAAGGATATTTTTAGTTGCATAATCCGAAAAAAATTTAAAAATTACCAGACACTCAGTGGGGTATTATTTTTTGCCAATATTATTTGTTAAGGGGCCCCCTGAGACGTCACTGGACGTAATAATTTTAATCTAGTTAGCGCTACACGAGCGTTTTATCACTAAAATTATCATTACCCGAATTAAATGAACATCTGCTAAAGCATATTAAAAATATTTATAATTAAAATACTCGTTAAAATTATTAAAAAAAAAAACTTAACCCCAAATATCTCCGTTTATGTTGGATTTATCAAAAATTTGTATGGGACATAATTTGATCAAAAATTAATTTAAAAGTACCTGCCATCGAAAAAATTATTTGCACAGTGGCGCCACCTACATCTTGTATTAATCAAACACATTTTTTACGCAGTTGTAAAGCCAATTGAATACGTCAATGCAGAAACTGAATATGTCCTACCTATCTAGTTTTGAGATAAATAAGAAAAACTGAACAGAAAGTGGACATATGTTCTGGACATATTCAGTTTCTCTACTATATTAACGCCTTTGTATATTCTAGATTACCGTGACATGTGAAATTTCTACGCCATTCGATCGGGCTCCCTTTACTTATAGTAAATCCATGTTTAACTCAATAGCCCTAAAAAGTGGACATATTCAGTTTCTGCATTGACCTATTCAATTATAGAGGCTAAAAACTGACGTTTACAGAATTTAAATGTCACTTTTAGTTTTCGAAATAATTGGCCTGGGAGTTTTTATTGAAACACCCTGTATGTTCAAGTTTACCAATTGTGAGGTTAGAATTCCTCCCCAGCCTGTTATTCCATATGTTATATTGCTCTCTACAAGGGCGTGAAGGAATATACATTTTTTACCGATCTTCTTGTTTAGATTACTTTTCAGAATACCTTAAAGCTGAATTTCGTTATTGGAAGCTCTAATTCCATATCTCACTTAAACCAAGCTTACACTTTTATTTCAGAGTTCTTAGAAAAAGACGTATCTTAAGCACTGCGCATATTACTTGAAAAATAGTATCTTTGCTTTTAAAGGAAAACCTTGTCGTTAGTTATAATTGCTTTTTGGTTGTTTTCTTTGCAGTTTAAATTAATTTTTAAATTAGAACCTATTTAAAAAATTCTTTCATAACTTTGTTGACAATGAAATATTTTTATTAACATTAAAAATATAATAATTTCATAAAATTTTCTATTTCTTAAAAATTTTGTACACACCACATAAAATAAAATTTACTACATAATGTAATTAAAATTGTTTCAACACTTAAGAAGTTAATTTTTAAGCCTATTCATCATTAAGAATCTTATGTAAATGTATTCTTACAAATTTGTTGTGCATACCTGGTATACCGGTAGATTTAAAGTGAGGAAATATTTTAGTATATATGATGAATTTTGGCAAATTTAAAATCAGTTTGTGTTCAGAATTGGATTAATTAACAACATGAGAATATTTGTAAGTACAAAAATATAATATAATGTAATGTAATTTTGTCAATTATTTGATAATGTATACGTACATTATTTACATGGAGTGTATCTTAAGGTGTGAATTTAACCATAATAATTATTTATACAATGAACATTGACTATCAAAAATTATAAAAATTATTTTTTGGATTCAGGCAAATTGTTTTAAATTTTATTAATGTATTTATTTATATTGTCAGATAACTCTTTGTGTGGCTTCTTTGGCCATTGCTGGCAAAACTGAAAACAAACAAACCAAACGTGGTTTGGAACTTGGAGGTTTTGGAGAATCATATGGTCATGATCTTGGTCATGATTTTGGAGGAAGTCATGGATTAATTGATTTGGGTACCAGCTATGGAGGTGACTTTGGTCATGATCACGGCAAAGTAGAAGTTAATACCATAACCAAAAAAGTGCCATACTTGGTACCACAACCAGTCCCATACACTGTTGTCAAACATGTCCCAGTTGCATACAAAGTAAGATATATTCTTTATTAAAACATTTTTATTACCTTGTAAGTAAATTACTATCATTGAAACTAAATCCTTTACGAAAATTTAACTTATTTTCTAATTTAATTAATATTTAAAAAATATTTAGAGCTTCACTAATGCATCACCTATACTGAAGATTCGATATAAGTAATGTTTGAGTGTTAATACTAAGGTTATGTTTTTAAGGTTCCAGTGAAGGTAGATGTTCCAAGACCATACCACGTATCCGTACCAAAACCATACAACGTTTATATAAACAAGCCTGTACCATACACAGTACACAAACCAGTACCTTACCCAGTCAAGGTCGAAGTTAAAGTGCCATATGCCGTAAAAGTCCCAGTTCATGTACCAAAACCATACGCTGTTGAGGTACCAAAACCATACCCAGTCAAAGTACCATACCACGTTATTGTTGAAAAGAAAGTTCCAATCCATGTCCATGAGGAACATCATGACAGCGGGTTGAGCGGATGGGATTTCGGTGGACATAGCAAATGGTAGGAAACATTTCTACTAAATGTTTTATGTGTGTTTTTGTATGTGATACGTAATTTATGTTTAAATCAGAAAATAAATTTATTTATATAATTTTGTAGTTTGTAATTTCCTTATAAATTTGAAAAAACCCCATTCGTTCAAATTAAGTATTTATTTTAAATAATTATAATATATTTTTTAATATTACTTAGATTAGTAGTAAAAAGATTTTTCTACAAAATACTAAATAGTATGTTGTGCAACGAGTAGAGAAAATGATCGAATTCTTGCCACGCTTGCTTCGCTCGCGTGTCAAACAAATGGTCTTTCATAATCAAATGAAAAATTAAATAAAAGCACTTGTTTAGAAATGATTTGATTTTAATTGTATTGTTAACACAACAATGACAAGTTTTGGTTTCGAGGTTAGGTTCCTGAAATTGTTTTATATCTATTTTTTTTAAATTATTTGTTTTTATTTCAAATATGAGAATAATGTTGAAAGGATAGTAATGTAAGTATGTATCATCTGTACGGATGACAATGATACATACATATTTAGATATTTTTTTAATCCATACATTTTGCGAAGGGTTCTATACTTGTATGATTCTACTAGTGTGACAATATTTTCATTATATATGGGAGGGGGTGTACAAAACCAAGCTGAAAATGTTCAAACATTTAATAATACAAGAAACGTAACAATTAAATATAAAATTTTTACACAATAGGTACTAAAACAAATATCGTTGCACTAGAAATAAAAAGTATTACCTTATATCAAAAATTCTAAAGAACTATAGTTATCTGCTTGTATGAGCTCTTATCCGGCCTGTAATAAAGTCATTATCCAACGAGTTTAGCATTTTTTCCACGCTTATTGCAACAAAAGAATTGTAAGGTAAGTGTAAGTATACACATTTACAGATTTACAAATGATACTGTACAAGAACTTTGTAACAACAGACTGTATAATCCATACAATTTTTGCAACTTTAACATGTAATATTGGAAGTTTATGGGTCTTCTTTTTTAATGTATCTGCCTAACCCTTTTTTCATATCTTTATTATTAAAAACAAGCACCGAATATTCATAATCAACCGAGTTTTTTATTTAGTCCCAACTCTTGTTTATACTATTGTAAAACAACTTAAATAATTTTAGTAATTTCTATGTCCTGTTAAATAATAAAAATAATAAATGTTAAACTATCCTCCGTATTTCAAACTATGGCTAAATTTAATAACAAATTGGTATTTTCTTCTCTATTACAAATAAGTATGAAACGTGGTCTATTGATCATTAATAATTATTAATGATTATGAGAAAATATGTTTAGTATTTATAAAGAATTTAAGCAATTAAAAATTAGTTTATGTAGGTATATATTTTTATTAAGTAAGTTAAAAAATAATGTACCAACAATTATTTTAAATTATCTCTATTTAGTTTAATTTTGTCAACCAGTGTAATTTAACATCGACCAATAAGGCTTTTTATTCACGGTTACCCTCTTTCCTCATACCCCTGTGCTATTATCCACATCAAAAATGCATCTCGCCATACATACCAAGAGATTTAAACCATTTCAAAAATAAAATAATTTATGATGAAATTTCAAACCTTACTAAACACAAGATACAGAAAATATCAATTATATACATTTTAAGGTTTGAACATTCTTATTGGTAAGCTCGTTATAATTATAGGTTCTGGATTTCAATAATTTTTAAGTATATTTTTTTTTGTATAATATATTATCCATATAAAACAATTTAACAAAATATGTATCACAATGTATCAAAAATTGAGCAAAAAGACCCAATTGAGGTTAATAATGTCCATGTCCACCAAAATCGTGTCCTAAACCGTGTCCTCCATATTCCGAACCATAATGAGATTCAATATGAATTGGTACTTTTTTCTCTACAACAACTGGGTATGAAACCTTAACTGGGTACGGTTGTGGAACTTCGACAGGGTATGGTTTGGGTACGTGAATAGGAACTTTAACTGGGTATGGTACTTTGATAGGAACCTTTACTGGATATGGATATGGTTTGGGTACTTCTACTGGATAGGGTTTTTCAACAGTGACTGGGTATGGTTTTGGTACATGTACAGGATATGGGCGTGGTACATCTACTGTGTATGGAACCTGTAATACATTAATTATAGTATTGGTATTTAATTAACATTAAATATTACCTTATATGGTACTTGTACATGCTTGATTACTGGGTAAGGCACTGGGTGAGGTACTGGGTATGGTACTTTTTTAATAATAGTATTAACATGATGATGATCCTCTAAACCTCCTCCATAACCTCCCAACCCCAACCCATGTCCTCCATAATCTCCCAGTTCCAAACCACGTTTAGTTTGTTTTTTATCTTCCTTTGGTGCCTCCTCGGCAAATGCCAGTGAAATAATGCTCAGTAAAATCTTTAAAAAAAATAATAATCCCAAGTTATTAATATTAACACTTTATTAAAAATTAATATTAGTAAATTACTCACAAGTAACTTCATATTGCTTCTAAACACAACTGATGATTATGCGTGTACAATAAACTTTATATATAAGTGAAAAAATTGTTACCAATAATAACTTTCCAAAACATACCCTGTATTTTGTGCAATTAAAACATTAGTCAACATCGACAATTGAACTGAAACATTTATAGAATTTATATATTTTATATCTATATTTTTTTGGATTAAAAATGCATTGAAAAATAATCTAAATTAACGATTTTAACACACTGTCAGCACAAAAGAAGTGCCAATGGGAAAACACTTTTATAAAAAAATACATTTTAACAAAGCCATAATACCACTTTCGAATATGCAGTTTCCCCATTTTTTTTTAATTCAAATTTTCTGGGCGAAAAAGAGAAAAAGACAGTGCTCGTTCGTGTAGTGTTTCTTTGTAACAAAATTTACGTGAATTTTGATTGATATGCTGTGCTACAGACATTAATACAATTTTAAAAAGTTTTGATGGACCTATAGGTCCACATTGATACAATTTTAAATATGTAAATTTATAATATTATGTATCAAGTATCAAGTTTGATAAACGCCATTTTAAAAACAAATTTAATTAGGGCACGAGCTAGCTTGCGAGCACTTTTGTGACAAATACCTATTATTATCTAAAAAAAATATAAATTAAATATTTGTATAGAGCGACATCTATAATACAATTGAGTAACCAACTTGGAAATATTAACGGTAATTTGTATGGGTTAATCAGAATGCATCCCTTGAAAATGGACAGTTTAATCCGATATAGAAGCAGTTTTTCACAGTGAAAGTAAAGAAAATGTTTTATTGACACTCCAATCTGTAAAGTTAAATGTCAAATTTTTATGTGTAAATTAAAATGTATCCCTGAAAAATGAACCATTTAATTCGTTATATGTAGAAGCAGTTTTTTACAGTGAAAGTTAAGAAAATGTTTTATTGGGGCTCCACGGTGGAGTCTTCACCAAAACTTATGTTAAATCTAGGTTAATGCAGGCTAAATTAGAAGTTTAGTACAATGTTCATATAAACTTTTCAAATGTTGTATTAAGATTATAAAATAATGTTTATAATGTTATTTTATAAGGGAGCTTTATTTAAAAAGATTTGACAACTGTCAACTAACTTAAAACTAACTTCAGCCCGTGACTCAAAACCTGTTGCCAAGTTCAGCCCCTAAATAAAACGTCATGAAGACACAACATGTTAATAAAAAGGTCACAGTGTCATGGAAACATGTGGGAGGGAGTAGAAAAATATATTTGCAAGACATTTTTTTTAATAATAATTATTACTTGGATGCAAAAAGAATTTCAAAATGTTTACTAATGTTTTCGCCTGAAAATATTTTGAAATATTTATTGATGGCATGCTTCGGGATGAAGATTTAGCATAAAAAACCGACCAACCGACCAACATAAGACAAAGTACAAATTACATTTACCTGTTGATAGAACAAATGTGCACAGTAGTTAAAAATGAAAAAATTGTGTAAAATCGATATATATATATAAAAATATCACACCTATTATGAATCAAAAGGTCTATATAGAGATTATACTTTATTTGTACCTTCATGCAAATAAATTATTATTATTTTTAATACTAAAATTAAAAAAATATTTTACAAGATCTTATCATATCAAAAAAATTGACCGATATATTTTCGGTTTAGAAAGGGTTAAATAATATTTTATTTGCCGTGTCCATAGTTATCTGCTCGCCATTGCTATTATTTTAACTCCGTTATTATTGTTGCTACAGTTTAATTAGTAGACTGATGTAATTTTTTCTTCCGAATAAAATGGCGTAAACAAAAAATAAGTTATTACTGCACATCAAAAATAAACAATTAATAAGCACTTGAACTTTATGATTGTGTTAAAATAAAGTAAAGGAACTCGGTTATTTCAAAAACAATCAGAAAGTTTAAGTGCCTATTAATTTTATTAGTTTATTTTTAGAATAGTTGCAGAAATATTTTTTTTTAATTAAATTATTTTAAAATATGTAAAAATATAGTTTCCCATAAAAAAGGTTATTTTTGTTAATATGTGGAAACCCGGCGTATAATTATTTTTATGATTAATTTTAATCAGAAGAAAAAACGCCAATTATTTGCTTATTTCACCAACTTCAATAATATCGGAGTTAGCAATGGAGAGCAGATAACTTTGGACATGGTGTATAAATTTTCCTTTGTTTGATGATAACAGTCTGACAGACTAGCGCAGTCAAATTCTATGGATTTTGGGTCGCTGAATCCGAATCCGTGGTAGGAATTTTACCATCAGCCTAACTTAAAATTTCTGTAGATGTATAATTGTATAATGTATTTGTTTTTGTTTTCATAAGCCAATCGAGACTAATTAATCAAAAACTAAATTGATTTAGTGACAGGCAAAATATTATAAAACATAATTATTTATTCTTAAATTTATAGTATTTAAATGAGGAAAGATAAAGCTTATAAAACAAAAATTTGTCCACCACAAACTTTAAATTTATGTATTCTTTATATATATTTTATGATCAGTAATTTAATAAAATACAGTTTCTCTGTACAAAATATATTAGGCATATAAAACAGTTAAAGAAAATGTATATCACAATATATTAACAAGTAGGCAAATTGTTCCAAGTCAGTTTAATAATGTCCATGGCCACCAAAATCGTGTCCTTCCAAACCATGTCCTCCATATTCGGAACCATGATGAGATTCAATATGAATTGGTACTTTCTTTTCAATTACAACTGGGTATGGAACCTTAACTGGGTATGGTTTTGCTACTTCGACTGGGTATGGTTTGGGTACGTGGATAGGTACTTTGACTGGGTATGGTACTTTGATGGGGACCTTTACTGGATATGGATAAGGTTTTGGTACCTCAACTGGGTAGGGTTTTTCGACAGTGACTGGGTATGGTTTGGGTACATGCACAGGGTATGGGCGTGGTACATCTACTTTGTATGGAACCTGTAATATATAAAATAAAAAATTGGTATTTAAATGAACATGAAATCTTAAAGTAAACCTACCTTGTATGGTACGCTCACATGCTTGATTACTGGGTAGGGCACTGGATGAGGTACTGGATATGGTACTTTTTTGACGATGGTATTAATATGATGATGATCCTCCAAACCACCTCCATAACTTCCCAATCCCAACCCATGGCCCCCATAACCTCCCAATTCTAACCCATGGCCTCCATAATCTCCCAATTCCAAACCACGTTTGGTTTGTTTTTTATCTTCCTTTGGTGCCTCTTCAGCAAATGCCAGTGAAGTTATGGACAAAATTAACTAAAATTATATATTTTTTTAATTCAAAAAATTAATATGTGTTTGATAGTAAAATAATATAAAATATCACTCACAAGTAACTTCATATTGCTTCTAGACACAACTGATGATTACGTTCATGCAATGAACTATATATATACAAGTGCATGTAATGTTAGCAACAAAAACTTTCCAAACCTACCCTTTTTTTCGCTTAATTAAAACGTTAGTCAACATCGACAATTGGACTAAAACATTGTAAATAAATTGTTTAATATTAATTAAAAATGCACTGTTGTAATGTGGATGCACAGGAGGCAATTGATGTGTAACCATATCGTATTTTTTTAATTATGGATAAATATTTTATAACGATATTAAACGATAATTTAAATATTAAAATTGTAGATTTTTTCTTTTAATATAAGACACAATTATAGTTTACATATTTTGTTAATTTGGAAGCAAGACAAACCTCTATTGGATTTAATGTACATGGCAAGTGGAAAATTTACTACTTTAAACTGAAATAATGGTTATATTTTTAAAAATAATATAATTATTTAAAAATAAATATTATTTATGAAAGACAACTTCGACAACGTCGTGCAAGTCTGAAATCCCTTCTATCTCTAGAATTTTCGCACGAATTTCACGGGTAATTTTAATCTTTAATAATTAATTCATACACATTAAATTTGATGTTTCCCTAGGATAAATTAAATGGTGTTATGCAACAAGGAACCAACCCTCGTTTTTAGCAAACTCAGATAGTTTAAAAATTTAGGTGGTTTCTTCGTTACTTTGTTAATTTTTAGTTCAACATTTTAATTTTATTTCTAAATCGCTTATTTTGGTTGGTTCCTTGTTGACCAAATGAAACTGGTGATTATAAACTATTATATTTGTATATATAAATAGATATAAACCATGCATCTTGGTGCTCTATTGAGATTTAAAAAGTGGGTTTGCATAGTTATGCATTCCATGATTTTAAGATGCCTCTATTATATTAATACATTATTTATATATTTTTTTTAATTTTAAGGGTTGGTTTCAGGTCAATAGGGTCCAAAATTTATTGTAGATAAAAATCCAACTATTTAAATAATTTTTATCCAAGTAAGTTTTATATTTTACAATTAATTTGCTTATAGATTTCTTCAATTATTCCTGTTTATATGAAACCCAAAAAATAACTAAAAGACATGGAAAAGGCAGAAATAAACGTCAAATAACCTTGTTGACAGGATTTTGTCATTTTTGTCTATGGATCTATATAATTTTACTCCCAAAAACTGCAGTAACTGTGGGGTTACCTCACAGACCACCAAAACAAATGGACGGATTTGTTTACGTTTAAAAAGCGAGTAAAGCATAGTTTTACATTCTAAACACCGTCGAAAGAAACACGGCTTCCAACGTTGTCAGAAGTATAGATTACACGCCTTTTTGGACGTTCATGATGAACGGTTCATCATAACATAATGAACATTAATAATTACCAGTAATTCGTTTGAATAATAAAAAAAATTGTATAAAGGATTTGTTCATCCTTTTCTTTAGATATATTTCTCTATTTAAATAAAGTAAATCATTTAATAATTATTAAAATTAAATATTAACAACGTTGGTAAATTCGTCATATTTGACAGCATAGAAAAAGGTTGACAGCTTGTTGTTTTGTGTTTTCGTTTGTGTATTTCTATCGTGTTTAAGTTAATTATGGAGTTTAAATACATTATTTTTTACTATAAATAACAATACAAAATATCGTTTGTAAGTACCTACCTACTTATTATTTTTTTAATCCCAATACGTCACTGGAAGAAAACATAAAATTCTATCGCCAATTTAACGCTTAGACTGTGGCCGTTTGTTGACGTCACTGAAAGAAAACATAAAATTCTATCTCCAATTTGACGCTTAGACTGTGACCGTTTGTTGACCGCAAACAAAGCATTGTTATTGAATGGCAATGCGCCGTCCATTTGTTTTGGTGGTCTGTGGGTTACCTTGCTAATAGAGTTTGAACGCTATAAGCAATGATGGTAACATAAGGACATTTTCTCTTCAAGTATACCTTATAGGAAAAAAAATAAAACTCCAAGACCTAAAAAAAATATTTGTCTTAAACTACCATAAATAATAACATGCACTTTTTCTGGTTTTTAAATATTATCGGCACATAGTCATAAATTCACTTAAAATGAAATGTTGTTTTTTTTGTTGGCACAACTTTTTTTAATTATTAGGATTTGTTAAATAGTGTTATTCTTATTTAAGTTGGACTAATTTTGCGATTGAGTGTTTTGTTTACCATAGAAGAATTTGTAGTTAATTTTAAATAAAAAAATATTTCAATAACTTATTTTGTTTATTTACCACATAAAATTAATATGTTTAATATAATATTGCAATATTTACTTATGGCTCAGTAGATGGGAACAAGATATATTTTCATAAGTGGTTGAAACAATGAGGCAATCAAAGATAATATCTTAAAATGCAATAAAAATTTATGCTCAATGAGCATAAAATACATATTTGGAATAAGTAAGTAGGTAATATTTATTTGTATTCTTTTTAATAATCAGTTGTTGGGAAATGTGCAATAAAAGTTTTAATAAGGACCAAATTCTATTTTTAACAAATAACAATTAACAATTTTTTAATATAGGTACTACAAATTTAAACGTTTGATGGTCTTAATTTTTGACTAGTAAGGTTTAAGTAATTTTGAAAAAAAATATTTAATGGTTTACTACCAAAACTTGTGACCATGACCATGACCAATATCATGATTTCCAGAAAAACCAATCACTTTATAGCTCTCTCCACCTTCGTGTCCTCCCCCAACCACAACTGGATATGGAACTTTCACTGGATATGGAATTGAAATTGGATACGGTTTTGGAACACTAACAGGCACTTTCACTGGATAGGGAATATGCACTCCTACTTTAACAGGAACTGGTACTGGTCTATCTACAGGATATGGTACTGGAACCCTTTTTTCGACAGGAAATGGGACTGGTTTTGCTACATGTACTGGGTAAGGCTTCGGTACGTGGACTGGATATGGTACCTAAAATAATTTTCAAATATACTTTTTGTAAACGCCTTTCTGAAAAAAATAACTTTTATCTTTAACTTACTTTAATAGTAACCGGAACATGCTTTACCACTGGATACGGTTTAGGAACAGCGTATGGTACCGGAACTTTTTTGATTATAGTTTGCACGTGTGGGACATGGAAATCATATTTCGACCCTCCTCTTTTAACACGCAAGGTGCCAGTCTCAGTTGCCAAAGCAACTGCACTTAGGCAGAGAGCCAACTAAAAATATTTTGGTTAAATTTAATTTTTTTTAATATGGATTACTTACGAATAATTTCATGTTTCCCAAGCAAACTATAAGCAAACTAAATTTTAAAATGTCTTTACATCATTATATAGTACTGTTACCACTCCACTTTCAAAAATAACCCTTAGTTCCGGATGCAATTAATTTTTGTATCTAAAACAATTCTATTTCTAAAAAGGTGGACAATCAATGCTATCTTATTTTTCTGACGACTCCATTAGTCTCGGTTATGTCATTATTTATAATTTTTTTCCTTATTAGCAAAACAATTTAATACTTTTTAATTTAATTTTATTTACAATTAGTTCCGTTATTTTTATTTTTGGTGGTTTTATAATAATAATTTAATGTATGATAGTGACAATTAAAAAAATATTTATGAATGCATAAATTTTCCATTTAGTTATATTGGTTTAAAATAGAATACAGCTACATTGTTATTTAGAATGTACTAAAAGTAGATATTAATTACAAAAAATTTTGCATTTCTTTGAACCCTTTTTAATTAAATGAGAGTAAAAGTCCATTCTAACAGGAAATTTGCAGAAAGTAAATTAATATTTGAATAATACACTAAGAGGCAAAATAATCGATCCACACAAATTTTCGATAAATTTCAATCGCAAATAACTTTTTTATTTGATTTCGAATTTATACAAATTTTAAAGAATATGGTAGATACATTAATGGAGAATCGCTCACATTTTAAAAATTACTAAAAAATAGACTTACTTTTATAATATACAGGTTTAAACAAAAATATGTTTTTTACCATAAGTATAAGACACTCTGTAGAGTGGCAAAACCGTATATTGTTCTAAATTAAGTTTTAATTATCAAGTCACATCTATTTTTAACAGTTTTGTTTTTGGTTCACCTTGATATGTATATTTTTGTGGAAAATATGTAATTAAAAAAAACATTGCAATTTCCAATATTTTTCCTGTATAAAAAACTAAGGTTGCTAGGTCCATCCATAGCCTATGAAGGATGACAGTGACAGTTTTGTTGAATCATCCCATACTTGGACATGTCATATACATCTTTCAAAAGCTATCAAATTGTTATTTGTAAATTAATGTTTTAATTTTGAGGTGTCTTCTTACTTTTAAAAATGTCTCCGACTGATGTTGTCCTTTGTACTTACGTTTAAAACACTTACCACGTAATACTGTGACCGTCCATCCTGGATTAAATTAATGGCTAAAATGGCTTAAAAAGACACCTCAAAATTTAAACATTAATTTACAAAAAACAATTTGATAGCTTTTGAAAGCCGTGTATGAAAAATATTGGAAATTGCAATGTTTTTTTAAAAAATCCATATTTTCCACAAAAATAAATATATCGAGGTGAACCAAAAACAAAACTGTTAAGAATAGATGTGACTTGATAAATAAAACTTAATTTAGAACAATATACGGTTTTGCCACTCTACAGAGTGTCTTAAACTTATGGTAAAGAACATCTTTTTGTTTAAACCTGTATATTATAAAAATACGTCTGTTTTTAGTAATTTTTTAAAATATGATCGATTGTCCATTAATTTATCTACAACATTCTTTAATATTCGTTTAAATCAGACATCAAATAAAAAAGTTATTTGCGATTGAAATTCATCGAAAATTTGTGTGGATCGATTATTTTGCCTGTGAGTGTATATATCAGTTAGTATAAATGATATCTTTCTATACATTTTTATAAAATATGATAATAATAATTATTAGGTAACTATGTTATAAAAATAAAAATCGATTTTCTACACTGTTTGTATTTTTTTTTAATTTTTATTTTTTTTTAATCTCCAAACGAACACAAGTTTTTTTATCTATATTAGATCGTGGCTACCGAAAATTAATAATTTTTTCGGAATTTTAAATTTAAATAATTTCGATTTTATTCACTTTCGGACATTTTGTGATATCAAAAATGATTTTTTTATTTAATCTTTTTATATTTAGCCGTTTTAACTTGTTTAATTGTAACAGATTTTTTTCGGTAAAGTTATTTTAAAAATGCAATATTTTTAAATTAATGTGTAAAAGAAAAAATAAAATATAATAAATTGTATAATAGCTATTTGTGTATTAAGAGCGCAAAGTGATACATGCCGCTCTGAGCGAGAAGTTTGGCTATCTCGCGAGGGCGGCAATGTCACTTTGCGCTCGAATTACACACAGGATTTTTCTACAACCTGTGTTTCTATTAGAATGTTTGGTAAAAATTAATAATTATTGATAACCTCAAATTTGACGTTTGTGTCAAAAGTCGCAAATGCAATAAACGTTTCTCTATTATGGTTTCCATGGTAACTAAGCGAGCGACAAAGTAAAAAAAACCTCGCAAAGTGCAACTTTGCGATTTCTTTTGGAAGCGCAAATTTGTACTTTTCGCTTAGTTGTAGGAAAAAGATATTTATGTACGTATTTTTATTTAAAAATATACCCATATCTATACCTATAAAATAATAAAGAAGCATGCATAACAATATATTGTTATGCATGCTTCTGTATATATACACAAAATAAGAGTTCTTTGAGGTTATCTGTTTTATGCGCATGCCATGAATTTAAATTAAACAGATTAAAATGTATCTTGATAGTGTTGCCAAATTGCAAAATTACCAAACTGGCAGATACGAAGAAAAACACTTCTATTCGGATAACTGTCAGATAAAGGTACAACATGTGGTAAATTATACAAATGTCAAATGTTTGTCAAGTTGACAAACTTGCCAAACATTTGCGGTCTTCTAAAAATAAATGTACAACAGCTACACAATAAGCGGCGAATGTTTTGTGAAAATTTATCTTTTGGCCTTATTATATACTTTATATTTAGTTTTAATTGGTCTTTTTCAACATATGGCCGTATCTGGGAAGAAGGGTTTTTGGGGGTTAAAAGTTTTAAAACCCTACCAAAAAAAAAATGATGACGTTAACAGGGGGGAGTTGATGGGTGATGGCGACTAATGATAGAGGGGTCCAAAGCCATCAAAAATGTCCTGGCGTAATCTATGGATTGTAGGTAAAAGAAAAAATAAATTAAAGAATGAAATACAACAAGCATAAAATCAAATTAGGTTTTTTATTATTTTTAACCAAATAGATTTTTTTTTTATAAAAAATGTGTGATAAAGTCCCCCCCCCAAGCAAATCTCATGTTGGTGAAACTTGAACCAAACATTTCTCATTTTCAAAATTAAATTATTTTACAAAGTTTTTACTTTATAGTAAATCTAAGAATCAAAATTAAATATTCAAGTACGACTCACAGGATTTCAAAAATTTGGATGTCAAAACCGGACGGCCCAAGTTTCCCAGACTATATTTAAACGAATTATATAAAGTAATTTAAGTTATTTAATTTAAACTCTTAAAAATATTCTATTAAAAGCTTAGTTTCAATTTTATGTATTGTATTTGTTATATAAAAGACATCACGGTTCGTGACTTTAGTAAATTAGACCTTTTGAAAAACGAATTAATTTTATCCTGCATAAGATTGGTATGCACGAGAATTTTAAATTTAGTAGGTACCCACATTTTATTAAATAACACATAATATTTATTATATTTATTTTAAAATTTTATAATAGAAATTGACACATTACAATTAAAATAATTCTGTAGACTGTTTATGGATATATAAAGTGATACGTTTATATTTGCATTGGAAATATATTTCTAAAAAAAACAATATTAATTTATAAAAAAATGTTAATAAAAAATATTTTAAATACCATAAACACATTTTGATATAATTTCCATTGGTTTAAAACGCTTGCATATAAAATGATTACAAAAATTACAAATTTTAAGAAAAATACTTTTCTATCTAAAATAAATTTATTAATATTTAAATTACACTTACATTTATTAATACCTTTTTTTTGTTGCATTTTGAACTGTATGTACCAAAATTTAACACAATACTGAGTATATTTTTTCTATTACATTTTTTAAAAGGCTACCTAATAAAATCATTATTGATGAGGAAAATACTTCCACTTACGCACGGCTCTTTATTTCACTACATCAAGTCTCTTTAATTCACAATATAATTACAAACCCTTTTTATTGTACCTATACAATTGAATGTATTTTATTTATTTATACCGAATTTTACAAAATATACTTATACAATTTGTAATCATGTTAATAAAATATTAAAAATAGTAAATTACAGTAAAAGAAGAGATTAAAAGGGGTCATATAATCAACCATGTCATAAAGTGGAATTTTGGGGATAATCGTTGGGAAATCCCCGAAATTAGAGAATAAAAAGATATTTCTGATTTTATTCACTGTTACAACTTGTAAGCGTTCACACCCCCCCCAGCAAAGAATCTGTAAAAAGTTACACCCCAAGTGATAAATGAAATATAACACCACGGCAAATGTTATATTAAATTACGACAAATAAATAAAATAAATACTTACGGTAATAAAGCTCATTAATTTAGTAACCCAAGGTACTTGTGAGGTGTTGTATTCATAGGGAAAGTATTAAAAAGGGAAATAAAAATACAGTAAATAAAAGGCAATAAGTTACGTTTGAACTCAGGTCAAAAACCCGGAAGGCTCCCGTTTATTTTTTTATTAAGTATCGCTCATAAAACCTTCCAAAATGAGGGATTATGGGAGTGAGTTACACGTATAAAATATTTACAATTTATAACAAACAATAATGATATTTATTTGGATAGAGCAACAAAAACAACCGCAACCCAAACGACATTTAACTTAGTGAACTCTGAAAGAAAAGGACCTCCTACAACCGTTTTAAAACCACACAATATCTCCTTACTGCGACTACAACCCAAATATAAATAAATATATAAATAACATTAGATAAATAATACATCATACTAGAGCTTAGCTGTCGTATGTGTTCCTCGTTTTAATTTTTAATTTTTATCTTCGCTTTTTGCTGATTTGTTTGTTTATTTGTTTGTTTGTTTGTTTGGTGAAAGTAGATTGAGTCTTAGTCTCTAATTTTGTATTTAAATTTAACTTTATTCATCAAGCATT